TGTTTGTGACAAAATGCATGGTGGGTCATTTTGTATCATAAAGTAATCAAGCAAAACTTCCCCAAGTTTTGCAATTTCTTCTTGTCTAGCTTTCTTTAATTTTCGATACTCGGCAACCGGCTTCTTTCTCTTCGTTGCGTTGAAAGAATTAGACATTGCAGTTAATCTTTAACATTGCACTATGATCCATGATGTACATTAAATAATATTAAAATAGATTTCCCAACACAAATGGAATCATCAAATGAAATGTTTGTGACTTTGTAAATTACATCTGTATTGCCAGCAATGGAAGCTGAAAATGAGAGTTTTGCATTTTAAGACATTAATTTAATTGGTCTTTAAATGTTGTTGTTTAAAAAATATCTTAATTTCAATTAAATATATGCTGTTATGCACATTCGATAACTGCAGATAAATGAATCTTGAAAATTTACGAAGAAGCTTTAAGACATTTAAAAAGGTTTTACCGTAAAATAACTTGCTTTACTACTGAAAATGACAAATGTGTCGTCGTAACGATAAAAATGTAAATAACACAATACAAACAATGCAGTACATGCTGCAGTATCGTTAAGTGCTACTTCATGATAGACTATGCATTATGATAGCAATCTACCAATGACTGCACTACTGTCAAAAAATTTTAAAAAATATATTATTACGCTTGGATTAATAATAAGATAGAATACCAGTAACGATTATTGTCTGAGAGGGAAGCAAAAAACATTGATTAAAATAGGCAAAAAATTACACATTTTAGGCCTTGTTGCGTTCCTTACGAGGACAATTTGGCCGTGTATGCATAGGCAAAACTGGAATGCTAATTGGGGGTGGTGTAAACATTCATATACTTAGCTCTGACTTGTTGTTGATTTCTTTTGTTGGCGATGTTAAATTCAATAGAAATCAGCAAGGCAAAGCTGAATATATGAATATTTACACCCCCCTCCCCAATTAGCGTTCTAGTTTCTCCCTTGCATGTATGTTGTCTACAGTCATCGTGACAAATCATGCAGGCGTTGTGGCCACAAACGAAAAATCTAATTTTAGAATGCTCGTCAATATCTTATTCTTTAATTGACTGTAAAGGGGACAATATGTGACATGGGACAACATTTCATTTATATGTGAAATACTCAGGTCAAAATAAAAAGCCTCGTGGATCAGAAGACTCAAAATCACAGGTTATAGTAAACAGCTTCTAATGTAATCAATGTTAGTTTTCTCAAATCTTAAACAATATGTAGTATAACTGTCCAATGATTGAATGATCAATGATCATAAACTGAAAAGCCCCAAATATTTGTTTATGATAAAGTAAATAATAGTATGGCGCCTTATGGCTACAGATTTTTTCTCCATTGAAATATATTTGCAGGAATGTAGGATTTTGCTGCCATATAACGGTCACGATTCCCCAAACACTAAAGAAATCATAGCTAAAAGTCTTTCGGCAACAACAATTGTAAGAAGCATCAATCTGCTTACCATACGCCATATTGACATAAATCGCATCACACACTCGCATAAATTGACTTTGATATATTACATTCATGCATACACTTCTCTTGTCCTTTACTTACGATTTTGGATGTAAATTTCTGCTGATAAAACTAAAAACAATGTTGGCTTTCTTTTGAACATCAATGACTGAAATGTCGCTCGCGAGATCGTCTTTGCCAAGCATTTACAATTTATCCATAAATTTTTCACCCTCTTGAAAAAATTCACAGTTTGTACAGCAGCATTCATGTCAATATATGAATTTTTAAAAGATTTCCATAAATTCTATCTGATTGTAGTTTAGTTTCTATCCTGCTTATAAAAATTACTATGAAACGATAAACATTCAATTCAGACAGTGAGCTTGACTATGTTAGTTCAGTTGGCTATCAGTCGAAATCCGTCAAACCAATCACAATAAAACAAAAATTCAAATAAGCCAATTGTAAGATAGCCATTGAACTCCTTTATACGTCCGGCCACACCTCTTATCGGTTGAGACCATTCCAGACTGTCCACTGATCTGGCCATTGACCAATAAAATAAGCGCTTTTGGCGTTCATAGACTCCTTTATCAGTCGAACCAGTCAAGCCACCCCGCCTATCAGTCGGTTATTCCAGGTCAATTAAAATTCAACTGATCTCGTTACCATCGAGCTATTCATTGGATTAGTCATTAGTTTTCAATAATAAATAAAGCTGTAATTTTATCACGAAGTAAATGCGATAATAAAGTAAGAATAGTTAATGAATATTTAATTAAAATGAATAGGTAATTTTTGAATTTCAAACATCAGTCGCGCGACGGATTTGACATACTCTAGATCCGCCCCTGCAGTCAACCATTTTTATTATTATCAGAAATGAAAATGACGACTTTAATTTGGTAAATCTTTAAAACCATATAATATACTCATATAAGACTACTTGGTCTGTTTGTGGGTTCTATATGTTAGTAAGTTATTTGTTGTTTATAAGAATGAGTTTCTGTGATCTTGATCAAAATTTAACTAACATTTTTGAGGACATGAACAATGTTGTGAACAAATGCTGTCCACATAATTTGGAAAAACTTGTTCTTTTCAACCAACTGAGCCAAAAACTATTTTATACAAAAAAATACAGGGATCCTTTGAGTATGGCCTTTGAGCACTGATTTACTGATAAGTAAATTTGGCAAGAAAAACAACTCCTAAACTGCAACATTATTTTATATTTATGGAGTAACTGACCAAGTCTATTATATCATGTAGTTTTAAAGACATGCCCAATTGACAGCTTAACTTTTGATTTAATCTAATTTAATTTACAATCTTTTTACAGCTGGCAAACATCATTCAATGATGATTTTCGGCTAGGCTTTTCAGCAATAATCAAATCTATACATAGTAAAAATTGCCAATTGCTATTGTTCATTCAAAATACTTCTTCTCAGTAAAGTGTTCATTTATCAGGAAGCATATTCTAGTCCCTCTTATATAGCTATTGAAAGATTTCTGTAGTCTCTTATTTAAATTTGATTGAGGAGTATTTATCAAATTTTTACATCTTGTCAATAGTCATACAAGTATTATATTTATAAAAGGATTTTGATCTTGAAAAAAGTAACAAATTTTCCTAGTGTAGATCCTATATTGCCGCTAACTCAGAGGAAAGTACAACCAGGTCAGGTACCAATTTGGGTGCCTGATCTTGCAGGATTTGAAAAGAACCAATAGAACTTTTATGAATCATGTGTCTTTCCCCACACCAGAGTGACCAGACAACCAAGTCCAAATTTGTGCGATAACACCTTTCGCTTCTGATAAGAATGTAGATCGTTGACAAACATTATTTCTACACTATTTTAGTCTAGGATCATTATATCTGTATTTTGAATCGATATTCAGTGAAGAATCATACGCCTTATTCAGAAAAAGCTTGAATAACATCAAAGTTGTTCACTCCTTCAAATTTGTGTATCAAGTTTCACAGCGTTTATAAAGTCGTAATAACCGTTAATTTTCTTCCAAAGTATTCTTCTTATCTTTCTATAGTTGTGATAAGAAAACTTGCCCGATCAGAAACGCGTAAAAGGTAAAATATTGCAAAAACTGTGATTCTGTAATACAAATCTATAGAAAAATGTGTCCCCAACTTCGATTCGGGCAGATTTACTTTCGGCTCCAATTTTTGCAATAAGATGCCTTATCCAGTCTATTTCAGATCAGTGAATCAGTGGCATCACGCTGGATCCGCTCGTGGGCACAACTAAAGCACAGAATAGATACATACAGAAACGCCACTCGATGTCGGAACCTTTGATGTTCGTGTCCCCAGCATCCAGGAACTTTACACGGCGGCCATGTTTCCAGCCAGATAAATGCAGCCAGATCGTAATATAATATATAGTTCTACGGATGGGTTTTGGCAAATAAACCCAAATATTTCTATAGGTTGGCCATTTTTTTAATAATTTTTGTGTGGATACAGTTAACACATCAAGCTCTCAGCAATTTATCATTAATTCGACGTCCGTTTTGATAAATGAGGGTTTATTCGGAATATTTACAAAGTAGATATGTATCTGACGAGATGCGTACTCGGTATATGGTTGGTCGTCAGTTTTAATTCTATCATATAAGAATTCTGCAGATTCTGAAGATATTTGTTCTAGCATTTGAAATCTCGGTCGTGGCTGAAACAAGTGACAAATCAAATTATCCTCCAGTTAGTTTATATATTGCAAACAACGTTTGGCAGGACATTCGAATCACCAAAATTGTCTACCCAGGTGTTGTAAACTATCAGAAGCGATGCTGCATGGCCACTATGAAAGTCATCTGATGCCAAAATATTTTGTATTCATCACAGTTGTGACTTGTGAAGCTTGAATGACTTTTTGAGCAAGTTGGAACATAAGCAGCAGCATGTTGGCCTCCACCAATAGAGTGCTTGAATAGCAATTTGTAAAACAAATACTGCCATATGGTCCACATGACTTAACTTTGTTATTTCTGCCTTTTTAAATTCAATCAGGAGATTATTTATATATTTGACATGGATGCTTATTGATGATGTGAGAAGTGAACATAAAAAGTTTCCTGAATGCTTTTGTGAATTGGATTGGTGTTGGCTTGGCACAGTTTCCCCCTGTCAAATGTTTTAAAAAAGTTTTCTGGTGTATCTGTGTTTCACTTTTTGGTAAACATATTACTGTGTAAAGTATTACGCTTTAAATAATGGCATTAAGAGTAACTATAACTGGTTTATGTCAGAATAAGTTCTGTTAGCGACATGATTACTTACAATAAACATTTTAATTTATTGAATGAAGCTTATGGATTTTAGCAAAAATTAAATGTTCGAGGCCTTTGTTGCAATAATTTCTCTCTGCTGGTTGATCAATGCGGTGAATCAAATATAATTCTAATCATTTTTCACATACAATTGTTGGTCACAACTCACAAGTGAAGTTTAACCAAAGAGGTAAGCTGTAGGAGCTTGACAATATGTTTGACATAATGGCAAAGTTGTTAATTTAATTGTAACAATTTATCAATAACTTCATTCTTTAAAAAATTGTAATTTCATATATTGTTTATTAAAATAAGACAACAAAAACATCTTTATTTGTAAGTTAATACAAATTTGACAGACATGATAGCCACAGGAACTCAACATACAATTACAAATAAAAACTTTCAATTACAATTATGCAGACAAGCTACATTGCAAATAAAAAGCCCCGATTCAAGAATCAAATATAAATTAGTTTAGTCCAAATTTTATACAAATAACGTCTTCATCTGAAGAACGTTCTTTACGCACAGTAGGTCGTTTTATTGCTTCTATCAAATCCGTTGACCATTCTACTAGGAAACTCTTTACTAGAAAATACAGAAATGGAATCACACTAAATATATTTATTACTTTTGTCCTAAATTATAAATTCTTAGGGCAACTGCCGTTCAATATAAGAGACGTTCTAAACATGGATCTCGCATACAATTCAAGGCAAGAAACTATAAGACCCGTAAAATTATATTTGAAGAACGTATTTTACAACAAAACTGTTTCTCACCTCATATGCTTGGTATCCTATCCGATGGCATTAAGAATTTTGTCCATAAGTGAATTTAAATTCGTCAAATTTTCGAAAAACAACTCTTCATAATATTAATCTATATATATTCTGGCCAGTTTATCTGGTTGGAATAATGGCGGACATAAAGATGCGCACTTAAGAACTGGGTACAAGTAGGGGACAGATTTTTCACTGAATGTATGAATTTCAGGCCCGATTGACGTTCTAGCGACGTCCTTGAGTGTGTATAAAAAACTGTCACCCTTTGAAGTTTGGCATTTAATTGTGCAAAAATTGAAAGTGTAAAATAACACTGTAGTTGTCAGTATTGATTTTATTAGCTTCTATAGTACTAATTCTAAATGAAATATCTTATGTTGGTCATCTAAATGATAGAATTTCACTATTTGCTTTTGATTTGGATTTGATTGTAATGATTCCGTGTTGCAGGAATATGCGTATCAGGTAGATTCAAACTCAGATACAAAACTCAGAGGAAATTTCCCATTACTGATTGAGGTAGCATTACGTGAGAACGCTAAGGCTTAGTTCAAACGGCGAACTTCTCATGTGCCCTGCCAAATTACTATTAAGTTCGGCAGAGCACGGCAAAATAGGAATTTGATTCAAACGTCGATTTTAATAGACCTTTTCAAGGTTATCGCAGCCATATTGCAGGGGGTGCAAAAACATTGGGCCGAGCGCGCGGTCACGCACGGCGTCCATATAAATTACTAATAAATGCGCAAAAATTACCCTTATACATATTGGCCATTTCTTTCAAAAATATTTGTCAAACTCGTCCATTTTAATAATCAAATTATTATTTGCGATTTTTATACACGTGAGTCCAATTTTGTGGTAATCAAAAAGCGGAAAGTTAAAGAAAACCTTTGTTTTCTTTGAACAACTTGACCGTCGTTTGAGCGATGTTCTTGACTTCGCAAATGTGCGGAACTCATAAGCCGAGTCAAACGAACTAAACCCTAAACTAGCCGAGCAGCCGTGAGCACTCATAGCCGAAATGGTAAAAAATGCGCGTTGTGCAGTTGGATATTGCGATAATGATAAACGCTATCCCTATTATCAAGTTAAGAGGTCTCACGTAGAAAATTTAGTTTTCCATAAGTGGCCCAAAGATAAAGCACTTGCTGAAATTTGGCGAAAACAAATTGCAAACAGCAGAGCCGATGACTTTAATCCAAAGCCTGGTGCACAAGGTACTTTAGTTTGCTCAAATTATTTTCCCTTGGGAAGAACCCCAAATAACCGCGGAACGGATTATCCTTCGGTTTTTATTACGCTATCAGAGTACGAGCAATCGAGGACTCCGCTTAAACGTAAAGGAGGAGAAACATGGACGACATTGAAGCGTCCTCATCAATCCTATGACACCGAGTATTGTGATTCAAGTTTTGATGGAAATCCAGCAAAATCTGAGGCATCTTTACTCCCTGTCCCTTTGGAATTTGAACAGTTGACGAGAGAGTATGATGTAAAGTTTCACACCGGCCTGCTATCGACTAACAGTTTTAAGTGTTTCTTTGAATACTTGGCTGTTTCTTCTTCTGGCTGTTAAGTTGCCATACATAATAATAAAAATAGCAATGCCACTTTACAAATAATTGGAAATACTAATAAAAGTTTGCCGTAGAAGAGTTCCTCGTGATACTTGCTGACTTTGATATAGACATGTGCGTGTGTTGCGAACTCAAGAACATCGCTCAAACGACGGTCAAGTTGTTCAAAGAAAACAAATGTTTTCTTTAACTTTCCGCTTTTTGATTACCACAAAATTGGACTCGCGTGTATAAAAAGTCGCAAATAATAATTCAACTATTAAAATGGACGAGTTTGAGAAATATTTTTGAAAGGAATGGACAATATGTATATAGGTACTTTTTGCGCATTTATTAGTAATTTATATGAACACCATGCGTGACTGCGCGCTCGTCCCAATGTTTTTGCACCCCCTGCAATATGGCTGCGATAACCTTGAAAAGGTCTGTTCAGTCGAACTTAATTCCTTCATATGACCTTTCGTTCCTTACGTCAACGTTTATACAGCGCGCATGCTCAAATAAATAGCGGGATTTTCAATATGGCGAAAACAAAAATAGCACAAAGACAGATCATTTTTATGCAACATATGCTAGAGCGTGCCAAAAATCGAAGGAGAATGCTTTATTGTTTTATTCAGTTATTGATTAATAGAAGAATCATGGCAATCAGAGCTGCGATCACCCTGATTCTGTGTTTATTCTCGCAAAACCCGCGTTCAACATCAATAACGCCTCGATCATGTCGGAGACTTGCTAGAAATAAAGGATGGTGGAATCTTGTTTGGGTTAACTATTCTGCAGTGAGATTCAAGAAAACATTTAGAATATCTCGGGAAACGTTTCTGTTTATTCTTGCTCGCCTAAGACACGTACTCGAAAAGAAACACATAGTTGAAGAGCCCATTCCTCCAGAGGTTCGACTAGCTGTTTGCTTGTATCGCCTTGGAAGAGGAACATATTATTATACAATTGCAGAATTGACTGGGGTTGGTGTTTCCACCGTATGTTCTATTACTGATGAAGTTTGCAAAGCCATCGTTGAACATCTCTGGGACAAATTTGTCAAACAGTTAATGCCACAGTCTGATCAAGATTTCAAAGATTCAATGATTGATATGGAACACTTTTGGCAGTTCCCTTGTTGTTGGACAGCCCTTGATGGTTGCCACATTTCTAAAAAGTGCCCACCAGGTGGTCAGGAAGCAAACAAAGAGTTTCACAACTTTAAAAGCTTTTACTCTATTGTTCTTATGGCATTGGTTGACTCCCACTATAGATTTATTTGGAGAAGCTGTGGCTACCCAGGTAACTCACACGACGCTATTATTTTTTAATCCACAGAGCTGTGGGCTAGTATTCAGGAAGGAGACTATTTGCCAGCAATTTGGAAAGCAATTGGTCAGCAAACAGTCCAGCCACTTATAGTTGCTGACTCTGCTTTTCCACTTACCAAATGGCTTATGAAGCCTTATACAGATGCTGTCCTTTCTGAAAGGAAAAGGTATTTTAATTACAGACTAAGCCGTGCACGAATGGTGAAAAGGTATTATAATTACAGACTAAGCCGTGCACAGAGGGTGCTTTTGGACAGCTTAAAGGAAGGTGGCGTGTGCTATACAGAAAATGTGAAAGTAATAGAAAAAGTGTCAGAATGACTGTCCTGGCTTGCCTGGTCCTCCATAACATTTGCTTAATGAAGAAAGATACTATCTCAAAAAAATTGGATCTTTCACAAGATCCTGGCAAAAGTGAAACGCGAGATAGAGATTCAGTAAGAGAATTGCTACAAATGAGAGCATGTCCTAAAGTCTGGGATACTTCCAAAGAAGCAGCTGATATAAGAAATGCTTTGGGGGAAAAATTTGGTTGGAGAAGGAGACTGGAGAAATGGTTTAATTTTTTTGACTTTTGAAAAAAAAGTTCATTTTCATATATTGAACAACACATTCATAAAAAATTAATTTTTTGGTACTTTCTAATTCTCAATCTTAACTAAAGTGATATATAATGCTTCATTGTGCACAAATAACATTTGATTTGAACATTTTGATAATATAACAACATAAAGTTTGTGTAGCAATTAGTAAAAAATATCTTTATTACTTGAAATGTCTTTATCAACAACACAACTGAATTATAAGAACTAATTAAACATTGCAAGTGCTTCAGGGCATAATAAATGCCATTATATGTTATTTTTATTCACATACATAATTTCTATAAAGATTGGTATTGTTTGAGATCATAGTCTGAATGACTATTGCTAAAGTTTGGAGTGCCTGCTGAATGACTTTCTGAATGACACCTTGCTGAATGACACCTGCTGAATGTGTTGTTCAATATATGAAAATGAACTTTTTTTTTCAAAAGTCAAAAAAATTAAACCACTTCTCCAGTCTCCTTCTCCAACCAAAGTTTTTCCTCCAAAGCATTTCTTATATCAGCTGCTTCTTTGGAAGTATCCCTGACTTTAGGACATGCTCTCATTTGTAGCAATTCTCTTACTGAATCTCTATCTCGCATTTCACTTTTGATACTGCTGAAGATTAGCTGATGAGTGGATATTCGGTTCTTGTTGAAAATTTGGTATTGGTTGAAAGTTTGGCATTGGTTGAATATTGGGTTGTGGTGGAAATGGTGAGTTATATTGATGTGGTGACCAGGAATGATTTGCACCATTTGATGAAGTTAGACAATTAAGAAAAAGCTTGGTCATTTCAATTTCATGCTTTCTTGCTATTTCAGCTTCATCTTGCATGAAACGTAGCAGCTCCTTGGATGGATCATTGTCCACCATAGTCTTTAAAAGAGCTATAGCTTCACCAACATTGTCTTTTGTTGACAATTTTCTCCTCTTCATGGGAACAAATGATTTTTTCACACTATCTTCACCTTCTTCCAACTGTCTAATTTCTTCCTCTTCTTCAAGGTCAATCAGAGAAGGATTACCACTGGAGCTAGAGCTACTGATATCACTTGAAAATGAAGGTTCTATTGCCATCTCAGGTCTGCAAGAGTCTCTTGATTGAACAAGCTGAAACAACTGCTTGAACCATATACCATAGCCTTTGCCTTCTTGGAAACGTATTATGCCACTAGCAGTTTTGATGGTCATTGCAGCATGTTTGCATTCTCCAGTGCATTTCTTAAATTTATTACGCATTTGAGACACAGTAAAGTCTATGTTTTCTTTTCTTTCATGGCACCTTGCTTTAAGCTCTGTCAAAATATTTTCGTATATATTACCATTCTTTTGGTTTTTTTGTATTCGTGAAAATTAATTTTTTCTTGTAGTAATCACTGTTAGAAACAATATCGATAAAATCATTTAGAACGTTCTCGGTCCACAAGGCTTTCCTGCCAGCTTTCTTTTTTGAACCTTTGTCACTATCATTAACTTCAGATTCATCATCAGTTGAGCCACAGTAAAATATTGGTCAAAATATTAGTACGAATACGGTATACTGAATAAAAGAAAACCATTATATTTCTTGGGGCTTTAACAATAATTATTTAGGTCTAACCTTTTTCTTCCAATCAACGGAGAGGGTGTTGAAGTTTCTCGGCTTTCAGC